CTCTGTGGTTCTCCATAAATTTGCTTGCTACTTCTAAACCGCTGGAGACTAGATCCAAAAGGTAGAAGAGAAAAACCATCAATATGATTCTGCAAAATGTGAAAAAGGAAAACTTCAGAGGGAAGAATAAGTTGGGAATGAGAGATCATTGAAACAAAGGTCTTTTCAGAGAGTAAATAGCTCCAAAAAGAGAGTCCCCCACCCAGTGTGTGGAACAAAACAGAGTTGGCCTTAATACCAGAGCCTCTCCCAGCACTTTCAGAGCAGAAATATTTCCGTCAGAGATGAGATGACATCATCCACCAGATGAGAAACTAAGAGGCAGTACGTGACTGACTTCAGTGTTTGAGTACACATATAAATTGGGGACACTACAGGCTGGCCGGATGTGCATTCCTCAGACAACTGGAATTGTACCTGCACAGGTCACAGAGTAGCAGTCTTAGACACCCAACTCAATGACCTACCAATACTTCTACATAAACATGTCAATAATTTCTACATCGAGCACAAAGAGACAAGCAGGCTTTTCAGAAGCAAAATTTTAATTCTTTGGGGATTGTCTTGGTTGCTAAGATTGAGACACACACACACACACACACACACACGGAAGTTTAACTACTGTATATTCTAGCAAGTAGGAGACACAACATATTCTGCAAATTAAAATACTGAGAAATCGTCTAAAATGTCAGCCTGCCTCATGAGAAGTATTGCTGAGCACACAACTATAAGAGATAATGTTGTTGTTTTTTAAAGTACTATTGCTATACCCTCAATAAGGACTGAGCCAAGCCAATTAAGAATTCAAGCCACACTGCCCTGGCCAGTTTGGCTCAGTGCATAGAGCGTTCACCTGTGGACTGAAAGGTCCCGGGTTAGATTCCAGTCAAGAGCACAAGGGCTCAATCCCCCATAGGGGGCGTGTGGGAGTCAGCCAATCAGTGATTCCTTCTCATCACTGATGTTTCTGTCTCCCTCTCCCTTCCTTCTCTGAAATATATATATATATATATATGGAGAGAGGGAGAGAGAGAGAGAGAGAGAGAGAGAGAGAGAGAGAGAGGGAGGGAGGGAGGGAGGGAGGGAGGGAGGGAGGGAGGGGGAGAGGGGGAGGGAGGGAGGGAGGGAGGGAGGGAGGGAGGGAGAGAGAGAGAGAGAGAGAGAGAGAGAGAGAGAGAGAGAGAGAAACCAAGCCACATCTCAGAGGAAAGTAAATTTTGCTTCCTAGCAAAGGTCAATTTTTCCTAAGGATCTTCTAGGGAAAAGTCAGAAAGGCAAGGATGTTCCTAGAAACTAAAAGCTGGAAAGCAGTTCAATCTACCAGTCCTGCAGTCACCTTGTATAAGAGCCAACTAAGTAGTGAGAAATGAGCCACAAGTTTATTAATACAGCCTTAATACAAGATCTATGAAATGAGTAACAATCCTCTGAACTTTAGTTTTCTCATTGGAAAAATGAGGTTATAGTATCTGTTTTCCTCTAATAAAAAATGTTTGCTTCTCCTTCCACAAGGCAAATTTTATGGCTCTCAGGTCTCAAAATGTATCTCTTGGCACAAATTTTGGCTGAAAATATGAAAAAAAAAAAAAAAAAAAAAATCAAAGTCCTTCTTTAAAAGACCAAAGTCTTGCCCTAACCAGTTTGGCTCAGTGGACAGAGCGTCGGCCTACAGGCTCAAGGGTCCCAGGTTCAATTCTGGTCAAGGGCATGTACCTTGGTTGCAGGCACATACCCAGAAGGGAGTGTGCAGGAGGCAGCTGATCAATGTTTCTCTCTCATCGATGTTTCTAACGCTCTATACCTCTCCCTTACTCTCTGTAAAAAATCAATTATTGAATAAATATATATTTTTTTAAAAGACCAATCTCTTGGATAGGTCACTTGTGATAGAGAGGTATCTGAGATTGCTGACAGACTGCCACCTCCTAATTCTATTTCCAAACCTGGCTCTATCTTGAAAAAAAAGAAACACACACACACACACACACACACACACACACACACGTCTTGCTGAATTAGAATGTACATGTTTCAGCAGAGAAAGTCTAACTTTAATAATATAATGAACATTAATTGCCCCCAAAATGCACCCATCTCCCCGCTCCGCCAATTCAAGGAAATCATCTGCCACCCCTTTTCAACAGATTCTTATCAATGAAAACTTAAGTTTCCCAGGCTTGTTTACTTGTGCACAGGTAATCTAATACACTCTACCCTAGTTAATTATATGTATATCCTAAAAAATAAACAAAACAAAAAAACTCTTCCCATTCTCTCCCAGCTTCTCATACTTACCTTCCTTTAGCCTAATCAACATCTCTGAACCTTTGGGGCAGTGTTTATTCTGGATTAATTCCATATTGTCCTGGACAGTGTGGCTCAGTATTTACAGCATCTGTCTGTACACAGCAGAATTGAGGGATTGAGTGGTTGAGTGTCAACCTATGACCCAGGAGGTCATGGTTCGATTCCCGACCAGGGCACATGCCCAGGTTTCAGGCTTGATCCCCAATGTGGGGTGTGCAAGAGGCAACTGGTCAATGATTTTCTCTCATCATTGATGTTTCGATCTCTCCTTCTCCCTTCTTCTCTGAAATCATTAACCATATATATATATATATATATATATATATATATATATATATATATTTTTTTTTTTTTTTTTTTTTTTTTTTTACAGTGTAAAATTTTTGTATTTAGAATTAGGCAGCTGGACTCAGTTTAGATGATTCCAATTTTGTTGGCAACATCCAATGCATCATAGTCAGGAGCCAGTCGAACATATGCCTTCTTCTCGCCATCAAGGTGTTGACCTTGGCCACATCAATGTCATAGTGTTTCTTCTCAGCCTGTTTGATCTGGTGCTTGTTGGCCTTGACATTTACAATGAACACAAGTGTATTACTGTCTTCTATCTTCTTCATGGCTGACTCGGTAGTCAGGGGGAACTTGATGGCATAGTGGTCAAGCTTGTTTCTCCTGTGTGCGCTCTTCTGAGGATATTCAGGCTGCCTCTGGAGCCTTAGTGTCTTTGACAGTCTGAAGGTGGGGGACGTGCAGATATATATATATATATATATATATATATATATATATATATATATTTTTTTTTTTTTTTTTTTTTTTTTTTTTTTTTTTTGGTGGCTGGGACGCCTTTCAACACTGCTTTCTTTGCCTTCAAAGCCTTTGCTTTGGCTTCGGCTTTGGGAGGGGCAGGGGCTTCCTCCTTCACTTTCGGTGCCATCTTCGTAAAAAGGGTCAACAATATATATATATTTTTTAATATATTTTATTGATTTTTTAGAAAGAGTAAGAGAGGGATAGAGAGTAAGAAACATCAATGAGAAACACTGATCAGCTGCCTCTTGCACACCCCCTACTGGGGATGTGCCTGCAACCAAGGCACATGCCCCTGCCCGGAATTGAACCCGGGACCTTCCAGTCCGCAGGCCGACGCTACATCCACTGAGCCAAACCGGTCCCGGCGACAATATATATATATTTTTTTAAGTAAAAAATAACCAGTTTGGCTCAGTGGATAGAGCGTTGTCCTGTGGACTAAAAGGTCCCGTCAATTCCAGTCAAGGGCATGTACCTTGGTTGTGGGCACATCCCCAGAGGGAGGTGTGCAGGAGGCAGCTGACTAATGTTTCTCTCTCAGGGATGTTTCTAACTCTCTATCCCTCTCTGTAAAAAAAAATAATAATAATAAATAAATAAATAAATAAATAATATATATATATATTTTAAATATATTTTTATTTACTTTTCACAGAGAGGAAGGGAGAAGTAGAAACATCAATGAGAGAGATACATCGACCAGCTGCCTCCTGCACACCCCCCACCACAACCAATGTATTATACATGCCCTTGACCGGAATCGAACCTGGGACCCTTGAGTCCACAGACGCTCTATCCACTGAGCCAAACCGGTTTCGGCTTTATTTTTTTTAAAAGAAAGAAAATATGTCCAGTAAAAAGAAAATGACAACTTTAGTCTTGTTGCTTTCTTTATGTCAAGTAAGAATATCCCCAAATCTTAGAAAATATACAAATAAATGATAAAATAACCACCTTCCTTCTCTCCAGTTCTGTCTTTGGCCTAATGTTATCTCTGTTGTTCACTTTACAAGCTATAACTTTATATTATATTATCAAAGAAAAACAGGTTTTATGTAATAGCTAGTAGCTAGCTCATATCTGAGCAAAGTTATTAATCATAAGAGTTTTATATCAACCCAGAACAGCACACAGAAAGTAACAAGCAAACACACTATTTTGATAATCAAAAGCTTAAGCAACCTTGGCAGAAATAAATGACTGATCAAAAGCAATGACATTTCACCTTGGCCATGTGGCTCATCTATGTTCCATATACCAAAAGGTTGCAGGTTCAATTCCAGCGTCAGGGCACATGCTAAGGTAGAAGGCTAAATCCTCCACCCAGGTCCCTGGCCCAGTTGGGGTACATGGGGGAGGCAACATCTCACACCAATGTTTCTCTTTCTCTCAGTCCCCATTCTCTAAAAATCAATGAATATGTCTTGGGTGATGATTTAAAAAAAAAAAAAAAAAAAGACACCAAACAATGACATTCTGGTGTCAGAATCTACCAAGGGGACAAAAGAAAAAAGGAAGGGATGGGGTGGTCAAAACCCCCTAAAAAGAAAGCAAACAGAAAAATCTCTTCCTCCTTATAAAATATCAACCAAATAGAACTTAAGAGATATTCTGACCACATGACAGTCTGTTCTATCTTTACATTCCCAAATTTCACTGTACTCACTCCTGTAAACTGGTTTAAGATCATTACTTTTCACCAGTACAGAAGAATTGAAGGGAAAGGGATCAGCGTACAGCTTACACTGTATACAAAGAAAACAGACAAAAACCCTCTACAAAAATCCCTACCATTTGGAGTTATCAGATTACAGCACAATTTACTGGTGGGGCCCTGCTTAGCAAGAACAAACGCACCAGAATCAAGATCCTAAGCAAAAATGCTTCAATCCTGTGTTCTCTGAGGCTTCCCTCAGTAGTTAAGAAAAAGTCAGGAAAGAAGCTGTAAAGTTACCTCCAAATCATTGTGCTTATGATAAAATCGTATCATAAGGATGATAACTTCAGAAATGCTCTGGTGTGAAGCAAAAGGAGTTAGAAGTTCATGGTCTTCTAAGGTTTCAAGTTATTTTTCTTGGAGAGTCATGTGATTTTATCACACAGCTCTTATTTCAGGGGAGCAGTGTACACTTTAGCATTCTAACTTTACTTTCTAACTCCTCCACTGACTTCATTTCTCAAAAACAGAAATACTTTACTGCCTTCATGGCGGTAAAAAAGGGACTCAGCGGCTGGATTTTAAGTTGTTGATGAACTAGTCAAATTAGATGGTCAAACTGTCAACAGCACTTTGCACTTTATCAGGGCTGATTTTATTTTTCAAGTGGTGCCGCCACTGTCCAAATAATGAGTACGGAGACAAAGGAAGAGAAGGAATAAATTTCCTTTACTCACCAAACAGCTGAGACTAGATGGCAAACTGCATCACCTTTTATTAACAATCAAAGTTTAAGAGCAAGAATACGATGATGGCTACTGCAAGCAGATATTCATTTATTAACTGCTTCCCCCAAAATCCAAACATGGTAATTACTCCAATGGGAAAAGATGTCAAACCTAGCTCAAAGCTTATGGTTTGCTCTACCCTTGGCATTTCACTTGTCATCAGCATAAAAGACCAGCTCTGACTTAATGGCAAAATAACCAAGACAGGGGTTAATACTGGCAGGGAACAACTGTTTTAAATCACCTGTCCTCCCTAATCTGAATGCCAATAGATTTTGAGCCTCCAAAGGTTGTAAGTGTCTTATTTTAAAACATCAGTCATTCTGCGCTGAATCCTGACATTCTTGTTTTGTATCCATTTTCAACATTGCCAAGCAATCTTACTTTTAATTTTAGAATTCAGAGTTTCACCAAAATTTAAGTGTAAGCATCTAGGAAAATAAACTGGTTTTAGGATGGATGGTTAAACACACACATCCTTTCTTTGAATTTCTAGCTTTTAACAATTTAGGAAATCATTAACTCACTTATTTCTGCCAATGTCCTATTATTTCTCCAGGTACCATCCAGAGCACCACTCTCCTCTAATCACAAATAAAACTGATTCTGCCGAAACCGGTTTGGCTCAGTGGATAGAGCCTCGGCCTGCAGACTGAAGGGTCCCAGGTTCAATTCCGGTCAAGGGCGTGTACCCTGGTTGCAGGCACACCCCCAGTAAGGGGTGTGCAAGAGGCAGCTGGTCGATGTTTCTCTCTCATTGATGTTTCTAACTTTCTATCCCTCTCTCTTCCTCTCTGTAAAAAAATCAATGAAATATATGTATTTTTAAAAAACCTGATTCTTATAGCCTTTTTTGCGTCAGAATCAAACATCCTATACTTTTCAAAAACATCCTTGAAATGAAATCTTGTATTACATTAAATTTACTAAGCCAAAACCCAAGTGAAAATGCAGAAAAGTCAACATTGTGAATTTGCGCACAATAACCCATAATGTTTTCAAGAATGTTTATAAACAGAATTTTTCTTAATTTCTTAATCCAATTGTATCAATATTTGCCAAAGAAGCAGAGAAGGTGGGTGTAAAAACAAAAGTACAAAAAGGACTCTCACCGAGACCTGTTTGGCTCAATGGATGGAGCGTCGGCTTGGGGACTGAAGGGTCCCCGGTTCGATTCCGGTCAAGGGCATGTACCTTGGTTGCAGGCATATCCCCAGTGGGGGGTGTGCAAGAGGCAGCTGATCAATGACTCTCTCTCATCGATGTTTCTAACTCTCTATCTCTCTCCCTTCCTCTCTGTACAAAATCAATAAAACATATTAAAAAAAAAAAAAGGACTCTCAAGTTTTTTATTTTGGACATTTTTACAGCTTGATTTCAAATATCAACATAGTAGTCAAGGTTCTGAAACCTAGTATTTGATTTTCTGCTGAAAGCACAATAGGAAAAAACATACGATCTTAATTACTACCTGCAAATCTTAGGATCTGGCAAAAAACATACAAAAATATCAAATAGTGACATCTAAAAAAGACAGGACTGCTCTGACTGGTTTGGCTCAATGGATAATAGAACGTCGGCCTGCAGACTGAGAGGTCCCAGGTTCGATACCGGTCAAGGCGATGTACCTCAGATGCAGGCATATCCCCAGTAGGAGATGTGCAGAAGGCATGTGCAGAAGGCATGTGCAGATCAATGTTTCTCTCTCATTGATGTTTCTAGCTCTCTATCCCCTTCCTCTCTGTAAAAAATCAATAAAATATCTTAAATAAATAAATAAATAGTAAGTTTAAGGACCACACATGACTATTTTTTCTTGGATTGGAGGGGGAAAAGAGGTTTTAAATTAAGGGACAACTATATTTATAAAAAAAACAAAAAACTTGTCATTTTTACTTTATCCTTCCATACTTAGATGCAATATGAGTTGTTTTGGCTCTCTAAGTAAGGCTTTTACAAGAAAAGCAAAAATTACCTCAAGAAACTAAAAACAGATGTGCACAAATAAACCGCAGCTTATGAAGAAGATATCTGTGACCAGTATTAACTGAGCTGGAATATGAAAGCCAATGCAAAATGGCAAGAATTCGATCTCAGGTCTAAGGAAATGTCAGCATCTCAAGTCAAGCATCCAACATCTGGCAGCCCATCCTGCTCAGTGTGGAGGCAACAGTCACTATGGAACACCAGACGTTTCTGATGGAAGCTCTGGAACAGTTTGACTCAAACTCCCCCCACACACGTTACACCACCACGCATTTCCCCTCCCACTCACAATCTGTCGCTTTTCTTGTGGGCTCCTCAGACTTCCCTCGATCTTCGATCATTGCTCGTGGCTAACCGATCTGAGCTCCAGTGCCTGGCTCTGTTCTCCAAGTGCCACTTTCCTGATGCCACCTGAGCGTTCTTCGGGTCCATTTCCCATTATGCACTGTTCCCCCCAGCACTCAGAGCCGGGATCCCCCCTCATTACCAACATCACCCCTCTCAGCCTCTACTGCATCTCCAGGCGTCATCATTCCGCCTTCTCCCTCTATTTTGGGGGTATTTTAACCCTAACTTTCCACATTCTTCAGTCTTCCTTCAATACTGCCCATTCCTTCCCAGAGAGAGAGGAGTCACCAGGGGAGGATGTTTGGTAAAATATGTCCGTGCGAGCGCACGCGGGGGGAAGGGGGGAGAAAAGGGGGAGGCGGGGGAGGGGGAATGGGGAGGGCAGAGGCACGAAGTGCGAAGGAATGACGCATTAGGGGGAGTCTCCAAGGAAAAAGACGTCCCCATCAACTCCCAACCCCCCAAAAACACTCCCAATTCCCTCCGCTCCCAGCTATCGGAAGCACCCCGTCACTCTCCAATTCCACGGCTTCTCTTCTACATTTTCAATGAACTCCAGAACCAGCTTGGGATTCTACCTGCCTCTCACACTAAGTAATTCCTATTCGTAAGGCCTCCGTTTACTTTACTTTTCTCTGCTCCCTTCCATGTCGCTGCTGTTCCCTTCCTATCCCCACTGTCCATCTTTCAAGTCCTCAACTCGTTCTCCTCCAAGACAGACGACGTTTTTGATAGCTCCCCTTTCCTCAATGAAGCCATCTTTTCCTCAGAATCCCCTGCCCACTCAGAAAGCCTACGTAGAACCCTCTGTTTTCCTCGCCGGCAACTCTTCAGACCCCCCCCCCCCACCAGCCACAGGTGCCCCCCAGGTCCCGCTCTGGCTGCCCCCGCCCAGCCGCCGTCGGCCCCCCGTCCCCGCCGCGCCTGATTACCTGAGGACGAGGTGCCGGAAGCAGCCCCGGGCTCCACGGATGAAAACCCGGTCGCCGACGTCCCAGAGGCCGACGCCATCTTGGCAGCCCCCTCCCCCTCAGCGGCCTCACTCCCTTCCAATCCGGCTCTTTCTCTTCGCCGAGTCGAATCTTCCCGTCTCTTCACAAAAAAAAAAAAAAAAAAAAAAAAAAAGCTGCGTTCCGGCGGCCACGTTCCCGCCGCCTCCGAGGCCTCCCTCAGACACGCCGGGCAGCCTCCGGGAGCAGCTCAGGGCCGCGCCACTTGGCTGGCATGGGGACAATCCACGTCTCGTACCCTCTCTGCAACTTGAACCGCTCTCCGCGGGAGCTGCTTTCCCCTTCCACGAGGGAATAGGCTCCAGCTGGCTGCCGGGAGCCCGCGTCCGCACCAAACCACCCCGAAAGCAATGAGGGGGCGTGAGAAGTCCCGGCAGAGCGAACGCCCCCTCCCCCTGCTCCCAGCCACAGCCTGTTTATCTCCCAGCCCCGCCGTTCCACTCCCGGCAGCCAGCGAACTCCGGACACTGCGCATGCGCCCAACCTCCAGTTCCATCCCACTCGACGGGGGTGGGGGCAGCCCAGAGAGGAGCCGAGCCAATCGGGAGGCTATTACTGGTCACATGATGCAGATCCACGCCGCGGCAGAAGGGCCCTACGGTGGCTTGGTAGGGTCAATTTAGTTCGGCTCCTTTAAAGAACTGGGTTGCGTTGCCTATGCTCCTTAGGAGTTGGTTCGATGGGTCCTCCCAATTTTGCAGCTTAGGGATGAATTCCCCAATAGATTCGCTAGTGTCAAATAAGAGACTTTAAGCAGTCAAATTCGCAAAACATCACATGCCACCAAGCATCCTTCCAGCTCTACTGCCTAATGTTTACTATTTAGTTTAACATGCAAACATGTCTTGACTCCCTCCGAATGTACATTTGAAAAAGATCTACACTTTGCCTCGAGCCAAAGGCTGGGCACAGTGACAGAGTTCAGGAAATATTTTATAAGTGAATGAAGACTTGTCAAAAAGGAAGGTGATCAAACCATATTATAGTCTTCCCGTGATCCAAGCCTTTAGCCTGTTATCTATACTCCAAAGGGCATGAAGACATATAGAAGCTCTCCATTCTAGTCTAGTCTTCGTATCAACCCTGCTCATTTTTAACAAAGTACCTTAGAGGTTGTAAACTCTGAAACCTCTTTCCCTAAGGAGACTAAACTCCTGGAGAGCAACCACTGTGTTTGGTTCACTCATGTATTCTCAAGCTACTCAGGTGAGGTGACTCTGTACATAGTAGGATTTCAACAGTTATTTGTGGAATGAGTAAATGAAGAGGAATGGGGGGGGAAAATTCTAGGTTCGGTAGCCCTCAATGGCCTGGTTATTCTCTATCTGATTCTTTCTGGGTCCTCAAAAAGGAATCTAGGACCACACTGGCCAGAAAATAGCTTTAGACACTGACTACTGCCTTCTACCTTTCCCTCATTGAGGTCTATAATAATTGTTTCCCTGCTGCCACCTGCTGGATTATTCCTCTTCCTTTGGGTAGTGAAGGGTAGACAAACTTCCAATGATTGGATTGCCTTTGTAATTCCATAGTAATGGAAATGTGTAGCATTGAAGTATTTTATGATTGCCTATACCAACACCCCCCTCCACCACCAAACTAAATAGTACAAAACCTAGACAGGTGGGTCCACACTGTCCAGCATAGGATTTGGCTCATAGATATTCAACAAATATTTGTTGAAAAATTACTTTTGTTTCCATAAAAGGCATGGAGTTGCTACCATTTCCTGAATGATTTTAGAAATTAGCTTTTTTACGGTCCTGGCTGGATAGCTCAGTTGGTTAGAACAAATCCTGATATGCCAAGGTTTGGGGTTCCATCACCTGACCGAACACATACAAGAATCAACCAATGAATGCACAAATAAGTGTAACAAATTGATGTTTCTCTCTCTCCCCCTTCTTCTTTCTCTCTCTCTAAAATCAATAAATTTTTTAAAAGAAGGAAAGAGATCAGCTGAAGAGGTCAAGTTGTTTCTGATTTAAAAACTGGAAATGGCTGAAGCCAGTTTGACTCAGTGGTAGAGCGTCGGTCTGGGGACTGAAAGGTCCCAGGTTCGATTCTGGTCAAGGCATGTACATTGGTTGTGGCACAGCCCCAGTAGAAAGTGTGCAAGAGGCAGCTGGTCGATGTTTCTCTCTCATCGATGTTTCTAGCTCTCTATCTCTCTCCCTTCCTCTCTGTAAAAAATCAATAAAATATATTTAAAGAAATAAATAAATAAAAATAAAAACTGGAAATGGACCAATAATGGACTCACTATGGCAGTAGGTCAAACAGAAGAGTTTCTCCCTGGGATTTGACCTATGAATCATCCCAAAAGAAGAGATCTGTATTTTGCAACTTCTTTCCGGTGTTTGTTTCTCTTTTATGGACGCAAAATGGCTACTTGTATTATGTCAGTGTGTTTACTTGTCTCCCTCATAAGACTGTGAACGCAGAGGGCAAAGATGACATCTTATCCATTTTTACATCTCAGGGATCTAGAATAGTGCCTGGCACACAGTAACTGCCTCCTGAGTATATGAATGGTTAAAGGTAAAATTAAAAAAATTGGGCTAGTGGTGCCTCCCATCATTCCCCCCTAAACCTTGTCTCTGCTCTCACTCCCACTC